ACTGGAAAGTCTTTGATGTCGTCAGTCGTCTTTTTTTTTTTTTTTTAAAGGAGACAGAGGCAATATTGTTTACACTTGGTTATCTCGTGTTGTCTTCAATAAAGGTCACTGTAATATCTTTCAGAGTTATTGTTTGAATCCCGATATACATGTTAAAAGGTATAACTTCCTTATGCATAGTTATTAACTTAATTTATCTATGTTTTCAATTTTTAAATTAAATTTAGATTAAATTTACTCTTTTATTTACCCCATTATTATACATTATCTCTAATATTATCGTTTTTTTTTTCTGTACAAGTCAATTAGAGAAGTCAAATGTTTAAATTATCTACATTTTCAAAGAAGTTTACGAAAATTTATAACGTTTTTTCCGCTTCGAATTCGTAAAAAAAAAAAAAAAAAAAAGGTTGTTCGTCTGCGACAAAAAAAAAGGAAGCAAAACATTTATTAGAAATATTCCTAGAGTAGAAAGTTGAGGCCGGCACCACGGAGGAAGTCATTAACCGCACTTCCTGGGTACAACTGTACTGGTTACCAGGAAATGACGTGGCACTCTCACAAATCTCGGAATGTGTGCAAAACGATCTTTTTTTTTTATAATAGGGGGATGGGAGAGGGATTAATAATATAAAAATTATATATCTCAAACACTATGTTCAAAAATACACTCATACACAAAACTTAAGGAAGTTGTAATCTTTCAGCATGTATATATCAGGATTCAGACAATAACTTTGAAAGATATTAGAGTGACCTTTATTGAAGACACACGAGATAACCAAGTGTGAACAAAAATTGCCTCTGTCTCCATAAAAAAAAAAAAAAGCAGACGACCGACGACATCAAAGACTTTATACTTGCTTACGTTTTTTTTTTGTCCAATGAGTATATTTCTCAGAAAAGTGTCCGGGCGCGTCACCAAGTGTCAGGGCAAAACAATATATTTCTTTTATATGTGTTTTGTCAGTCATTCTGTCTAGCATTATATAATATTGTGTAAATTTTAGAAAATGTTGTGAAAATATGGATTAGGGAAAGACAGCAAATACCCTTCCAAGAAGCGCCAGAGAGGTAAAGAGAGAGAGAGAGAGAGAGAGAAATATAAGGGTGTCATTATTACCTTTATATATTAAAAATAAAAAAGGCATATCCTGACCAGGAGCACATGTGCTTTTTAGAAGGCAGAGCGCCATCTGGTGGAAAAGAAATCAATTATTCATTGATTTAACCTGTTCCCTGATATTTGGCCAACCCAATTTCTTGATAAATCAAGAAAAACCATCCACGATGTGTGTTTTACATGCGTTCAGCGTGTAGCCTCACAGAAATGTATGTGCATTTAAAAAACAAGGTGTGAAAATAATCACACACACATCCCTAAACATTTTATCGAAAAAAACAAAAAACTCAAACTTTCTTTTGATTTAAATTTGGTGAACACGCATGCGTAGGAAAAAAAAAAGAAGGAATCGATGCAATAAGCTGATGAAAGGTCAAAAAAAAAAAAGTTTTGAAAAATGGTGGTTTGGCGTCTGTTTAATATTTATAACAATATTTGGCAGTACCCCGTGACAAATGACGCCACGTGACGTCACTCCCAGCTATGACGTCACTAATTGGTGATTGGCTGGTGTTCCCCAAAGATTTAAACACAAACCTATTATCAACATCACCCCCACAAACCTTACAATCCTTCCACTTATATAATGGAACCATTTCTAAACGATAAAAAGTAAATTCTCTAAGCCTACTTTTCTTTATTCCCGTATGATATCATTATTGAACTCTTATCTAAATCTTTTTTTTTTGGGGGGGAGGGGGGGGGAGCTTTTGGGGTATTAAAATGGTATTATACTGTAACCTAGCAACCATATATAGTCAGTTAATTAAAGCTTAGGCCTTAGCGACAATGGTGGGGGTCAAATGCGCCGTCAAGATTAGTATTGCAAATATTCGTATACATTTTTAGGCTTAAGCAGGAAACATCACTCTCTGGTAATACATTTATTTTCGGGGAGTCGTTGGAAGGATGGTTTACACCGTTGGTTTTCGATTGCTACGACCCGGGTTCGATTCCCGCAATGGGCACTTTTTTTTCTGATTTAAAATAAAATGCTCCAATGGCCCCCCGATTCTTTCAAAAGTACAACCCTACCAGCGAATGCAAGTAACCAAACGGGACTCTGGCACATTTGTAAGTGTAAAAGTCGAACTGCGGTTTGTCAGATGTGTAGACATGTGGTGCACTTACAGTAAAAGCAGTCGCCTACTTTTACCCACCATGATTATCATGGCATGTACCGCGTGTACTAGGACTAAGCAAAAAAAAAATTCAGGTGATCAACCACAAGACTCTTGGTGTATCCATCGTATAATGGTAATACACATTGGTTCACTTAGTCCATTCATTGAGGATTTTCGTGGGAAAAATAATGTTTTATTTTTCTTTGCTATCAGCATCGATATGTAAATATGGAATTAAGACAACTCCCTATTCTCGCTATTGAAGAAGAAACAAAAGTCGGAAGTTATAAATAAACTACTCGACTTGTGTTACTGATTCTTCTATAGCCTTATAGTTTATCTGCCTCTTGAAGCCGTGGTGGTGTCTTGTCCGTGGAGCATAGCAGATAGGTCCGTGCACCCTGATTAAAATACCGGCCAACTGAGGTGTCTTGTCCATGGAGCAGTTCAGATCGGTCCATGCACCCTGATCACAATATCGGCCAACTGAGGTGTCTTGTCCATGGAGCAGATCAGATAGGTCCATGCACCCTGATCACAATACCGGCCAACTGAGGTGCCTTGTCGGTATGGATGTCCTCTTCTGGATTGATGTCTGCTATATAGAGGGCTGCAAGGATGGCCGGGTATATATGGTCCGGAGTGAGTTGGGTGTTGTGACAGTTCCTGTAGGATCTAGTCATGTCTGGGTTTATCTTCATTCCTTTCAAATGTCCTGTTCTGATTCTTAAAATTGTTCTTGTTAATTCTCTGTTAATGTTGAAGTTGCATATGGACTGGGGTATTATTATTATTATTTTTTTTTGTAATGAGTTTTGCTTTTGTATTTGCGTCTTTCAATGATATTGAACTGGTTTCCAGTGTCTGTTTTCGTTATTCCTTAGTTAGGCCATCAGCCTGTTTATTGCCCTCTATTCCAACATGGGCCGGTATACGTTTTGGTGAGAGACTCATTACAGCGGACTATCGGCAATTGTATTATACCGCGCTAGGATGCCTCCTCACAAAAAATAGTTCCATTTCTAAATCAACCTAACCTAAGCTAACTAAACTGTGACGATCGTCCTTGTATTTTAAAGGGAGAGGTGGCCGAAGTATGAAAAGAGTTAAAGATGAGGAGAGAGAAAGAAACATACCCAGGTGTACGCGACCATCTGCGCATGCCCGAGAAACAAAAGCCGTGTGCGATGCCACCTGCTCATTGTCCATTGTCCTTCAAATAATGGTCAAAGGTCAAATACTTTTATTATTATTCATTGCCGGTTTTTTTTAAATATATATATAGCTAAACCTGTGTAGGATCCTTTTTTTTATAAATTCAATCTAGACAGATAGGTACCGTAAATACCTGTATGCATTGCCTGACTCATCACCCTTCCAGCGGTTTCGCCAGTTTAGTTTGATCATATTGCTCTAATAATGTATTGGGGGCTGTTGAGCTTATATTTCATGTCACTTGAGAGAAATTCCTGGAGATAAAGTAATTAAGGTAACCGTTGCCATAATTATATAATTGAACAGTTTCCTTTTAGGCAAAATTTTCATATATATTTGTCTAGCCACTTTACCAGCTAAACACCTCTTTGGCAAATTCTGAATATTGCATTTGAACCCTTGTGGATTTCATGGAATAAAGCCCACCCTAGACTGACGAGAGCCATTAGCCCGAAAACCATGATCTTCAGGTGGACGTTTCTCAGTTTTCCAAAGCTGTCGCTTTATCACCGACCCGAGTCCGTTATTTTGTAAAGACGGTCAATATATAGCGCTTAGTTTTAGCTTTTATTTTGACAGGAGAGAGATGACCTTTTTTATTTTTTACTGAAGTTTTTTATATACAATTAAATTGCTCTTTTATATATATTTGAATGTTATTCTACTGTCCTATAAGCTTATGTCCATAGTTTACTTGAAAACCATTTCTAAGATTCCATCCTTCAGTGTAGCATATAAAAGCAGAATGATCCAATACAGTATTAGAGCTCTGAGAGGCGGTCTGGTGGATTAAATTGGCGAAACCGCTGGGAGGGTTCACCACTGATGAGCCAAGCCTTCCCAATATATTTTTTCATCGCAGTAAGGACAGTAGAAATTTGTATTATGTTTAAAAGAAACATTCGCGCTTTTAAGTCCTTTTATTTTATATATATATGTCATACATGTTTTGATCTAACCTATATCAGAATGGGCGTAAATTTGCATAAGCGCGTCAGCTGACTCCTACATACTGCCCACGACGGCCTAATATGGAGCAGGCGGGACAAGGCCGTCGTTATTGCGACATCGCGTCAACTGTACAGCGTCACTTAGTTGTCCCAGTCACGGCGTAGTGCAGTCACGTCTCCCTTCGTTGTATCGACTCTTGTACACAGTCCTATACAGCAGCATTCCATCATTGGAGAACTCTTTCTCAAACATCTCTCCTCGGTATAGTTCTTTAGCTCTGAAACGCTATTGGAATTTTTCAAAAAACTTTTCTAACAAACCTCATCTCTTATAATACCTCGTTATAAACAGATTTTAATAGAAATTCCTAAGACTTCGCTTTTCTCCAAGTGTATCAACCTATTACAAGGTAAGTTAAATTTTACTAAATTTTCTTTATATAAATACATTTTTTACTCTTTCCCATTAGTTTTAAGATTATTGATATTTAGTGATATTTAGTTGATAAAAAATACGTTTAGAGACTTTACGTTTATTTAAAAAAATAGTTTACTAAACCTAAACTAAAACCCAACTTAAACTAAATTAAATAGAGTAGATTATCACAAATGAACAGCTAATCAGCTACGTGAACAATGAACATGCCCTAAAGGTAATGTACGACCGTAATTTCCTATCAATGAATATTGCCAAAATTACTCCATTGTTGGCGTGTAAAACTTTCATTTGTACTCAATTTATGACTTTGTGAAACTTCAATTATACAGAGCTTGCCTCTATAAAAATCGTTGAAATACACTCATGGACAAAACTTAAGGAAATGTAGTCTTTGATATCGTCGGTCGTCTATATATATATATTTTTTGAAGGTGACATAGGTAATTTTATTCACACTTGGTTATCTCGTGTGTCTTCAATAAAGGTCACTGTGATATCTTTCAGAGTTATTGTCTGAATCCTTATATACATGCTGAAACTTCCTTAAGTTTGGTCTATGAGTATAACATTAATGGTATATAGAAGTAATTACTCATTTGATGGAATACAGAATTCAGTTACTTCTGTATCTTATTTTCTGTTTCATTTTCTCGTTTTCGGATTTTGGATGGAAAATCTGAAGTTCAAAGACTTTTGTGTGAAGAATATAGAGGGTCTCCGTACAAGTTACATAGGAAGGATACCCTAATTTACATATACTGATAACAACTAGCATTGAAGTACACCAAACTTACCTGTATCCATTTTTCTTAGATATTGAATAGCGGTCATCTTGATCTGTACGTTCTCTTTGGTGTAGCTCCCTCCATCTGCTTGTGGATCATTAGGATGCTACTTGTATGGTCCATAGGAAGTCTGGAAACACCGAAAATATTCGTTTATTTTATACTTATCCCAAGTACATATAGCCATTATAATCAGTGTGAGTAGAGAACTGTAAGAACAGATATATGTAGGAAGAAAGCAGTTGGCACTTATAAAATGCCAAGAAACCGTTTGGTTGCTTGCACTCACCGGTCGAAGATTAAACTTATGCCTCAGTCGAGGACCATTGAAGCATTCTCTTGAAAAGAAAAGAAAAAAAAAAGAGTGTCAGATGCTGGATTCGAACTCAGGTTGTTGTCGACAGTGTGTACCAGCAGAATACTCCATCAAATTCCCCAATACAGGTTAAATAACCAAATACAATAGGTCTGGCATATACTCATGGACAAAACTTAGGAAGTTGTACCTTTTACCATGTATAACGGTATTCAGACAATAACTCTGAAAGATATTACAGTGAAATTTATTGAAGATACATGAGATAACCAACTGTGAGCTTTTTGCCTCTGTCTCCTTCAAAAAAAAAAAAAAAAGGTCACTAGCGACATCAAAGAAGTTACACTTCCTTCAGGTTTTGTCCATGAGAGTAGATTAAACTGGCGAAGACACTGGGAAGGTTTACAATTGATGAGCCAGACCCTCATAAAATTTTTAATTTTAATTGAATATAGAGGAACCCCTCTAGAATTCCAACCACTCAGGTTGATCTGTTTTTGCATGGTTTTCCCACTATGTACTAAGTGTTAAACTGCAACCTCAAACAACATCATTGACTGTAATGACTCATCCATTGATAAGCTCTACCAATCCCCAATACAGACACTATAAAAAACCTCAAGTTTTACAGGCTTGATACCCTGATATGATTGTTGAGTGGAGAAAAGAAAGAAGATGAGAGGAGTCCTACAGTATTGGGATAAACGGCGCCTCACTGCGTCACCAGAATATTTGGGTCAACCGCCAAAAATAAAAAAAAATGGATGACCAGAGACATAATGACTTTTGTCAAGCCATTTCCTGATAATTGAAACGTCCTTCGTTTTATAAGAGCTAACGTTTCCAGTTCGCAGCTTCCAATCTCCACAAGATTTCAACATGTACACGACCAGTATAATTGGGTTACACCACTAGTCGACCATATGTCCTGTCTTCTATAAACGGATGTTTCGGAGAACTGAGAGTCAACTACCCCGTTAGCGGTCACTGTTTCGGTCCTACTCATGGTCCAACTCAGATGAGTATAAAATCTTGTGAATTTGAATATCTGGGGATAGATATGAGGGGTATCCCCACGCCAGTTGTTCCCAGGGTGGTCCTCAGACCTCTTTTTTTCAACCAGTGATGAGCCAAGCCCTACCACTATTTTACCATCGCAGTAAGGACAAATATAAAAAGTTGTTTTATTTAAAAAAAAAGAGACCATTCACGCTAATTAGTTCCCTTCTTGAATATCAAGATGGCACGATACTCGGAGATGTAAATTTGAAAGATTCGGACCAATGTTATGGAAAGGGAAATGTACAGAATGGAGGCACACATTGCTCCAGGTTACGTAAGGATGTCATTCGAGAGGAAGGACACTTGACACCAGGCCGTGTCAAGTCAGGGCTACGCATGCAAGGCCGTTCGCTTGAATGGGGCATTCTAAATTTCGCACATGTGCTTGTCGTGGACACGCGTCATAGGTGCGCAGAGACGTGGGTGGCCAACTTGTTTGACAAGGCCGGCTGCGCTATACATATATGGCTCGTTGATTTGCATAGTAATTTCGTTGACAGTCGGGGAATATATTTGCATAGAGTATTTAGACAATTTGACAATATAAACAATTATATTGATTCTTTCAATCAAATTTTACAATGTTGGATAAATAAAATAGTAAAATGGCATATAAAGTGTAGGGGAATATATATACAAATATCTTCAGCAAGGAAGGTCTCCCCACCTTGAGTATGAGTATTTAGATAGATAAAATTCCTTTTTACACAAATTAATCATAGCCACCGAAGTTCTCACATAGTGAGATCCAAATTTCCCAAATACCTTAATTTTATAACATAACGCACGCACTTATCCAATATTTTTACTTCTCGTTGTCCGCAAAACACAATAACAATTTTCACATTCCATTGCCCAAATCACAGTACCTACATTTTTTAGATATATTTGTTCAAATTACACTAACGAAATGTTCACATAACGTTTCACAAGTCCCAATATCCAAAATTTCAACATTCACTTGTCGAAATACCAACTTTTTTTAGCATAACGACACTCAAATTTCCCAAATCACTCTACCAGAATATTTCACATTGGGATGTCCCTATTTACACACATGCCAAGACTACAGCCACTCCAACACCTACACATGACCCACATAGGTCCTCCCACGGTTCACACTCCCGCTCACATCAAAGCTGTCACTATTTCCTCACCTTCTACAAGCTGCAGCTTTTACCTGACTCTCACAGTAACGGGTCAACATTCCGCCACGCCGCAGCGATGAAGAAGGATTGGAGAGACACAGACCATAGAGATAGGCACCAGGGGACAGTAGAAGGCAGGTAGAAACGGAATCACAGTTGGAGAGGGCACTCCGCCTTTGCTGGTCCCAAGCCCGGATGAAAAAGGAAGAGGGGGGGGAGCAATAACAAGCTCACTAGAAAACATGGGCTCAGCTGGTCGGCTAATAGTACCCTGTAAGGGCTCCAGGGATACAGGATGTACTCCATGTTAGGAGCGGATGCACATGGCGTCTGTTCCTCATGTCAGAGGTTGCCATTTCATATTGGAGCTAAGTCGGCCTGCTACTGAGTAGTGCTTCCAGTCGTTATGACAAAGACAAACGCATTCTACTTCACCCAATGTCAAGCTCTACAAGCTTGATACCCTAATGTGATTGAGTGGAGATAAGAACGAAGAGAAGAAGAAAGCGCCAGTATAGACTCCGAGGAAGTCTGATATTATCCAAAAAGGTCGGTGTCAGAGTTCACTCCACATACCCGAATTAGTTAGGAGGAGGCTCACATCCCTCCACTAAATATAAGAAAACGTGGCCCCAACTTGGAGCACAAGGCAAGCAGCAGCCTCAAGTCGGCGTAAATCTGCCACCCAAGGCCACCCACGTATGGAAATGGGCACGCTCACTTCCTGGCCACGCCTACGGTGGCCCACGCGAGTATTGGCCTCTTGTCCGGCCTTTTTTACTCTCTTTTATTTCTTCTTCCCTACCGTAATATAACTTAATCACGACAACATAGACGATTTTTCTGGAATATATTCCAGTTTTCCTATAGATTAGTGTGTCTATTGGAGATTGATCAAGTTGGGCCATACCATTCACAAGAGTCTGTCATTCATACAGATGCTGTAATATATAAGATTTAAGGTTTAAAAATATTGTGAAAAGTATTGAAATTGCAACGAATTTTTCACAATGATTATATATACACTCATGGACAAAACTTAAGGAAGTTGTACCTTTTAGCATGTATATCAGGATTCAGATAATAACTCTGAAAGATATTACAGTGACCTTTATTGAAGACACACGAGATAACCAAGTGTGAACAAAATTGCCTCTGTCTTCTTTAAAAAAAAAAAAAAAAAAACACATGACCGGCGATATTAAAGACTTTCCACTTCCTTAAGTTTTGTCCATGAGTGTAATACATATTTACATATATTCATATATATATTATAATCTATATCATAAACCTTATATGTGAGAGCCTAGAGAAAGAGTATCCAGGCAGAAGAAGAAGAAAGAAGAAAGAGAGGATGAAGAATGTAAAGATTTGGAGTCATCTTACCAGACAGCATTAGAGTGTTAACTACTCCTTTAATACTGTCAGGTAAAGATGTGCCCAAATCCTATTGACTACACAGCCGGGGAAGTCTACAAGGTAAGTACACAATTTCTGAATAACTCCCTCTCTCTCTGTTCGCTTCCTGCGATCTGAAGGTCTGGCAGACTCTTCGGCCTACATCCTGAGATAATCACAAGTGTGGAGACCATCTACACGTACCAAAACCAGGGTATACAGGTTAGCTTTTTGTGTGAAGTTACCAAAACTGGTTTTGTTACTCATTCTTTATCATCACTGGTGAAATTTTAACTAGAGTGATGTACAGTGCCATCGTTTTAATTAACAATTAAAGGGAGAGGTGCCTCTTTTGGTATATATATATATGTAGTGATACATATACCATCTTTGTCTTTAACTGGGGAATACCAACCATCACATCGACCTGCCCACTCTGTTGGAAACAACTCTCGCAGTCCATCGATGGCAGAGTCTTTCCAGCTGTGGACGCCACCAATGAAGACTGTATGTAAATATAAATATTCATTACCATGAGAGGTACCTCTCCCTTTATTTATGCACAGAACGATACATTATGTTCATCTATACTAGTTAAAAAATGTACTAGTGGTAATGAAGAATGAGCCGCATAACACCAGTTTTGGCAAATTCAGACAAAAACCAACCTGTATACCTTGGTTTCGGGCTGTAATCCTCATCAGTACAGGGGCGACTGGATTTTCCGAAACTGGTGTTGGGGCTAATTCTTCATTACCCCAACAGTAAAGTTGTTTTACTAGAGTGATAAATATATCGTGTTCTGATGTACCTCGCTTACCTCGCTTTGCGTCGGGGTTACGTTCCAAAAAAAAAAAAAAACACGACGCAAATTGAAACGACGCATAGTGAAAATAAAATTTTGATGGCATGGCGCAATCAAAAACAAAGGTGTTACCATATTTTAGGGAAAAAAAATCTAAAAAAATTAAAGACTCGAATCCAAAAACAACGCAACTTCGAAAATCTAACGACGCACAGTGAAAATCAGTAAAAATTAAGCAGCGACGCAACTTCGAAAAAAACGCAAAACGAAACGACGCAAAGCAAGGTATTGGTGTATATATAAAGGGACTCTCATGGTAATGAATCCTCCCACAACTTTAAGTTATATATATTGTAGCTAAGCATTTATTTTACACTAGTATTAACAGAGTATCGTTTTTTATGTTTATATTTTGCTACTCTGTAAACTTCCCTCATTGCTTATCTTTTGTTTTATCCTTCATAGTTTGTTCTTACTTTTTGAAATTTATATGTTGAGTTTGTAATTATTCTTGTTTTTTTTAATTCATAGAAGCATTTTTCTGGCAGACATATTCAATTTTTTTTATCATCATCATTTTAAATTATTGTTTTTTTCCTCTTTGTTAGTTATCAAATCATTTGCAATTGTAGTTTCTTTTTGTTGTGTTCCTTTTTAAGCAATAAAATATATATAGAACTAAGGTGTAATATTCAATTCAAGCATATGCAACCAACATCGATTCATTTTTTAAAACAAAGCAAAATTATAAGCTTATACAACTTTCACTTTTTCATACACTTACCTGAAATAAATTGCTGTGTCATCCCGAAGTTTGTCTTCCCTAATTTTCCACGTGGCAATATAAATATATTTATCAATTGCTTTATATATATCCACACAACACATATGTGAAAAAAATCATATAATCTTGTTTATAGTTGGGAGTTTTTAGGAGGAAGGGGATTTGTTTTATAAAAATAAAGGTTGCCTCTCCCTTCAAAATAGACCCTAAAACCACTTCTCAGTTTACCAAAGCTGGTGTTGTGGCTTTGTCATCGACCTGAGTCTGCTAGTTTGTAGAGACAATCAATAGATGGTAGCTAGTTCTAGCGTCTATTTTGACGGGAGAGGCAGCCTTTTAATAAAATCTTGTTTATATCTTGAATTTAACATTATATAACCTTATAGACAATATAAATGATAACTACAATCTAACTATGTATTCCTTGCTTCCTTAGTTATTTTCTAGTGGCCTATATTTATTTGTTGTTTGTCCTCTTATTAGAGATATATATTTTTAGAATATTTTGTCTCAATTTGTATAATAGTTAATATAAAAAAATAATATTTTTATATTTACCCCCATACCTCGCTTTGCGTCGGGGTTACGTTCCAAAAAAACACGACGCAAAGTGAAAATATGTGAAGGCGCAATCAAAAACAAAGGTGTTGCCATATTTTAGGAAAAAAAATTCAAAAAAAAAAAAAAAAATTAAAGACTCGAATTCAAAACAACGCAACTTCGAAAATCTAACGACGCACAGTGAAAATCAGTAAAAATTAAGCCGCGACGCAACTTCGAAAAAAACGCAAAACGAAACGACGCAAAGCGAGGTATTGGTATATAGAGTTCCATTGAATTATGTAAAATGGTATCAGATTATATTTAACTCGTGTTCTATTGGCGTATCATTATACCATGTTTTCTCCTGTAGAAGGACGTCCGTGACCGAAAGCTAGAGAATAAAAATGTTTTGAAAATATACTTTTCCCTGGAGGAATGATATATTTTACTCAATAAAATAGGAGTTTCAGTCTCTACATATATTTATCTAATTAGAATATCGCCCTATATCTTACCCTATAAGGATATACAGTAGACTCTCCTATAACGCGAGTTTTTACAACGCGATTTAAAAAATTGCGACAAATTTATTTATACAACGCGAAATTTCGTATAACACGTTATAAAATAAAATACATGATATTTGTCACTAACAATTTACCCTAACAACATTCGCGTTATACAAGTTTTATTTCGTACAACGCGAATTCCTATAACGCGATTTCATACAACACGGAACACCTTAATCGCGTTATAGGAGAATTTACTGTATTGTGATTTCTTCTTGTTATATTGTGATCAATATTGGTGTACAATACAATACAAGTTTTATTTCGTACAACGCGAATTCCTATAACGCGATTTCATACAACACGGAACACGTTAATCGCGTTATAGGAGAATTTACTGTATTGTGATTTCTTCTTGTTATATTGTAATCGGTGTACAGTTGATATTCAATTTTGGTTGTGTTTCCTTAGGTGCTTTCCTTGGTATTGTTTTAAAGAGAATTATCGTGGAAGATATATCTGTACTTGTAGATCTAGTAACGGTATCTACGTGTAGGATTGTAACGTGGTGTTATTTAAATGTTAAGTTTGGAAATAGAGATTCTCCGCTAGGAGGCGGTACGAATAGGCAGCACGCAACCTCGCTCTCGGTAAGTGAACTGTCTGACTAAAATATTTTCTCTATTTTTACTAAAGTGCAAACTCAATTTATCTGAAATGAAATCTACATATCTAATATATCTTACCATCATAATTTTATGTCTATTAGACAAGAATTCTGAGTTAAATTTACATACTTTCAAGCCGGATACATACGGCGGCAAAAAGATTTGCTTATCACGCGTCAATCTTTCACTCTCAAAATATTTCCGAAACTTTCTCCTCATTTGTGTAGTTTTAATGCTCTTAATATTAGCTGGCATTGAACAAAATCCAGGCCCCAAGATGTCCAAACAAACGACGTTGGAAACAAGCTTAGATAGGGATAAAGAGATCAAAGATCTGATAAATGCACTCACCAAAAGGCTGGATAGCTGGGGTGAGAGGCTGGAATCCCGTCTTTCGGCAATCGACGATAGAGTAGAAAATATAAATCAAAGACTGCAACAATTAGAGGAATCTTCTGCCGTTACAAAGGCAGCACTCTCTCAAAACTCCAAAAAAATAAAAGACTTAGAAGACCAGCTTGAATACTTGGATGCAAAGAGCAGAGAAAGGAACCTTATTTTTTACGGAATAGAACAAGAAAATAACGAGGACTGCCGAGAACGGATACGGAAGGTTATCGAAGAAAATATGCAAACAACGGAGAAGATAAACATCACACGATGCCACCGAGTATCCAGAAAACCTGGTGCACCGATCCTGGTTGAAGTCCCAGAACAAAACGATAGATCAACTCTATTCAAAGCTGCTTTCAATCTAAGAGGAACTAAGATATCACTATCGAAGGACTATAGCATGAAGGTGAGAGAACAACGACGCGTTTTGAATGTCAAAAGAAGAGAACTCGTCGAAAAAGGTACTCTAGCTAAGCTAAGGGACAATAAACTAATAATTAATGGCATAGCATATAAGGTCTGTGATGGACAAATTGTAGATGCCAATGGACATTCATTGTAGCAGGCAGATAGGAAACAATCACTTGTAAATAGTCAACCCATTGATAAACAGATCTCTAATACAGTGTCCATACAGCCACTTTATGATATAACACTCACGGCTAAAACTTCTAAAATTAAAAACTCAAAGGTTACGGAAAATATATCAGATAGAAATACAAATAAAATTAGATATACACATACGAAAAACTGTGAATCGGCAATAAAAGACAAACAAGTAACCCAGGCCAAACATATAGATACTAAAATTAAAATATTACAATGGAATATAAATGGATTCAATAGAATAACATCAATATTTCCACTCGTTGAATACCTAAAAAAATACGAACTTTTTGCACTAATTGAAACATGGATCACTGATGTTATTGAATTATTAACAGATGAATATTACATAATTCAAAGCCCAGCAATGAAGACAGAACTAAAGGGAAGGGGCTCGGGGGGAATTCTGATTGGAATAAAAAAAAACTTCCAACATACGGTTAGAAAAATCGAAACAAACCCTTACTGGATATCTGTCTTGACGCACAAATTTCTAGACAAAACCACCGAGAGTATATGTTTGTTGTTTGCTTATTTACCTCCTAATGTATTACAAGAACAAAATTTAACAAATTTACTTAGGCATATTGATTATCACATGAGTGAAGGTAACGAAGTGCTAATAGCTGGTGACATCAATATTAGAATAGGCAATGCAGGAGGCTTCCATAACCCACTGAAACTAAATTCACCCCTCAACAAATATAGGAAATCTAAAGACCTAATATCTTCGAAACTATCTGAAAAACTAATTTCCTTCACTGATTCAAATTCTATAACAATAGCTAATGGAAGAACTAAGGGTGACACGCACGGCTCATTCACTTTTATTTCAGAAAGAGGTTCATCGGTTTTGGATTATTTCATGTACACACACGGTTTAACAGAGATCATATCGGATATGTGGATCGAAGAACTTTCATATTCAGACCACTTACCAATTGTTTTACAAATTAATACTGGGTATGAAGCTATTAAATCCTCGTATAAAAAATGAAATACTAACACGAAAATTCATTTGGACGAAAGAAAATGTGGAGATGCTAAAACATAATTTAAGTGATATTGAAGTTGGAAATGAAACCGATATTAACACAGAAACAGTAAATTTTACTAAACAGATCTACACGGCAAATATAATTAAATTTGCTAAACGACGACACCAACTTTCAAAACCTTGGTATGACAAAGATTGCTATATTATGAAAAAAACGACCAAAGTAAGTTTACAAAGATGTAGGAACTCAAATAACATACAGGACCGCCAAAAATATATTGAGGCTAGGAGGGAATATTTTAAGCTCCTGCAAAGAAAAATAGATGAATTCAACAAGGACAAGAATGAAAGGATAAAAAACGCCAGAGATCCCAAATCCTTCTGGAATGCCATTGCATCCTTCAGAAAAAAACCAATAATACAAGGAGAGATTGATATAAAAGAATGGTTTTTATTTTATAAAAATTTACTGAACAAAGAAAATAAAGAAGCTACTTTTACGTTAAACCAGATGATCGGTTGGAAAGATCCAGATTTAGACGCGGAAATAACCCTTGAAGAGATCCATGATGTAGTAAAAAAACTAGCGAATGGCAAAGCAGTGGGACTCGATGGTATACCAAATGAGTTGCTAAAGAATTTACCGATACCGACTTTAACTAAATTGAAAAACCTATTCAACAAAATAATGTCCACAGAAAAATACCCGCAACTCTGGACGAACTCAATAGTACACCCTATATATAAAAGCGGTGATAAGAATAACCCAACAAATTACAGAGGGATTGCCCTCTGCAGTAATATATCCAAATTATTTACTACAATACTAAGAAACAGATTAAACAACTGGATAGAAAAAAAGAGAGATTATTTTAGAAAACCAAGCAGGTTTCCGTAAGAACCGATCATGCACTGACCACATAATACTATTGAATTCACTCATCCAATTATCTCTGAGAAGAAAACGAGGCAAGCTATATGTCTTCTTCGTCGATTTGACTAAAGCTTTCGACACAGTCCCACATGATTTACTTTGGCAAAAATTGCATAAAATGGGCATTAGCAATAAATTTGTAATGCTGATAAAAAACTTTTACCAAGAAGCTAAGATTACTATCCGATGGAAAGGACAATATTCAAGTAATGTGAAAATTAATTCTGGAGTGTTGCAGGGAGAATCACTTTCCCCACTTTTATTTATACTTTATATGGCCGACCTAATAGAACTTTATAATAACTCAGCACTTACAGGATTTCATCTCCCTGATTTTGGTGTTTTGCACCTACTTATGTATGCGGATGACATAGCCATAATTGGAGAATCGAAAATTAACCTACAAATTAAAATCAATTTACTAAAGTCTTACCTGGATAAGAACAAATTAGTTTTAAATGAAAATAAGTCCAAAATAATGGTATTCAGAAATGGAGGAAGACCGGCAAGACACGAAAACTGGTACTGGGGTGACACCCCACTGACTGTTGCGTCCAATATTACATATCTGGGATATCCATTCACTTCCACTATTAATAGCAAAAAGGTAGCCCTCTTTTATAAAGCCAAAGCAAATACGGCAATAAATGCAACTATTAGACTGATAAAAAAAGAAAAAATTAACTCATTAAAAGTTGCACTGAATCTATTTGACTCAGTTATTAAATCAATACTGCTCTATGCGGCCCCTGTGTGGGCTTGGGACAATA